ACAAAATGGAGTGCTCCGGAGTTTACAGCATAAACTGCAAGGACTGTAAGCAAAAATACATCCGAGACGGGAAGGATAATCAGCGCAAGAATCAAAGAACACTAACGACTATGCAGAAAAATGGATACAGAAAGATGGGAAATAGCTGAACACCTCGCCGTTACCGGCCAGACACTTGAGTGGAATTCAACGGAAAGACTAGCCTCATATGGGGAAGACATCAGGAAAGGAAAGATCAAGGAGGCTGTGGGTATCCCCTTTCCTAGAAACCGGATGAATAAGATATTGCAAGTGGCAAGAGTTAGCGATAATTTCGCGTACTGCCTGAGCAGACTTGGAGATTCAGCGAAGACATCAAAAAGAAGACGCATGGACCCAGGACAACTATTCAACAATAGGATACACAATTAAAGGCTAAAGGTATAGTTGACTAGTGTGTGTATAGTGTGTTGTGTGTAGTTTCATATCTGTGCCTGAAAGAGAGGTGACTGGTGACATGCTTGACCACGGAGGACACCAACCAACACACACACTGGAACATCATGCCAGTACTCTAGGATTAGATGGGATTGTCAACTCGAAAGACGAGAGGAGTGTGTTTTTCGCGATTTATGGGAAAAAGAGAAGCGGTGAATTCTTACACCAGCTGTTTTGACTTAGGCCCCAAAAACGAGACAAAATGTGGGTGGGGAAGAGGAGGAGGATAATCGGTCATGGACTTGAAGCCTATGGAGAGGAAGATTCCCAGGCACAGGCATGGACATGGGCATCATCTGCTTTACATCCTCGAATATGGCGTAATCGAGGATGGGGATGGAAGGCTCTTAGGCAGCCAGACACTGATTTTGATGTCTAGAAGCGTGTAGGAAAATAGGGGGGAAGGGGGCAGAATACAGGTCAGGAGCCTGCATACGGTATCTGGTACCGGTGGTGGAGTGACTACGCTTCACTAAACTCACTTGTAGCGACACAGTCGTAGGCGACATTGGAAGAAACGAGAGCAAGTAATTGTGTGAATAAGTGGATGGGCCATATGAAGTGGGGTTGAGAGGAAGAGATGCGGCACCAGAAGGTAGGACAGAAGATAGGGGCGAGGAGCAATGCCACAACGGTTGAACAGAAAATTGCTCGAGGGGATTGGCTTCACTTGTCACTTTGGTAGGTTGTAGCTCTGTGCTTACGATCGCGCCTCTGACTGATGATGCCGGCGAAACTTTTGGGAATGTACCCAGCCAACGGCCCAATGCTGGAAATCACGAATACTCTATCAGAGGACACAGGACACAAGACACAAGGTAGAAACAACACTAATTAGCTGAAAGACTGCGACCAAACACAATGCAACACCATCTTGGTCTTCATATCTACGATATATTAAATAAAGCTTAACATAGAACATGAGTGAGAGACAACCAGAATATTGGAAATGGGTGGATATAATGAGGTGATTTAACCTAATTCATCATAACTTATCACATGTAATCAAAATCAGTACAATCAGAAATCAGCTGATTTCGTCAGATGTCGGCATATTTGTTTGCTCATCTCATCTTAAATTTAGTTATTTAAACTAATATTCTACGAAAAATAGCATCTCAGCTCTTTGCATCCACTTTCATTTAATTCCAACTTATGACATCTTATCTCATATCATCACACCTCAGCAAGTCTAAGCTCATCTCATATGATGTGCTTTCATGTCACCGAATCTCCTTTACTTTTGCGTAAAAAATACCTAAATTATAATTTCTCCTGCATATAAATTAATGTCCACTTAAAACAGTCAACAGATCTCAAATAAAATCTTATATAATAATCTCATTTAATGCGAGTCAAGTCAAGGCAACTCTTTTGATGCCATATTTATTTATCAATAATCGTCTGATCGCAACACAAAGAGATCTAATCACATCTTATCTCTTCTAATCTCCTTCCACATGTCAACTCAAATGATCTTATTTATTTTTAAATGGATTAATCAGTGGTCATTTAAAGTGAACTAAACAGATCACTTCCATGTTTTAATCGAAATTATGAAGACCACGATGGTGTGGCCTTTTGTGTGGTCGTAGTCTCCTTTCGTTGTCTAGAGCTTGTTTGACCTTGTTTTTGCAACATGGTCATATTGGTAGGAAGACTTAGAGGAGCGCACCTAGTCCGGAGTCCATTGTCTGTATAAGCATTTCCAAGGTTTAACCGTGGACGTGGTACATTCCCAACCGTTTCGACTCTCTGACGATGCCAACTAAGATGCCAGCGAAACGTCTGGGAATGTACCACTTCCACGGTTCAACTTTGGAAATGATTATGTAGACAAGGCACTTCGGACTAGGCGCGCTCCTCTAAGTCTTCCTACCAACATGACCATGTTGCGAAAACAAGGTCAAACAACCTTTAAATAGATCACATCTCAGAACATCTAATTACAGTGTAACTCATTTAATTGATCACATTTCATCTCAGGTCATGTCATTTTAAATCATCATATCTAAACTCATTTCCAATTATTTCCTCTCGTACCATCACCTCTAGTTTAATCTCATTTTATATCATCAAATAAGATCTATTCCCTGATCATACATTCTAAATAAACTCAAATTATCCCAGTTCAGTTTAGATCAGATCAGATCAGATCACCTCAATTCATAAAATCTCATCTCTTTCATCTCATTTCATCAAAAATTATCTGATCACAACTCAGCTCATCATTTTTCAAGACAGATCAGCTCATATAATCTGAACAGATCTGATCTAAGTTAATAGAAACGCTACTAAATTCATCAAATCTAATCACAATTCAATAACAAATTTATTATCTCGTGCTAATGAAACAAGTAAAATAAGCTCATATAATGCATTTTATCACATCAATTCCAATTTAATCAAATGCAAACTGACATAATATCCCTTCAAATAAATACATTTCATTTCATTTACCCTCATCTCATCGGATTCCATGGAATATCTTGTGAATTCATCTCATAACATCTCAATTCATCTAATCTTATTACGAT